AGGAATTTGAAATCAGGGGGGAGGTTTTAAAGCCACAGCCCAAGGGTGTCTGGTCATCTGCCTCTGCGAATGATTTCAAATGTCCTCCATGAGTCATGCCGACGCTGTACAGGTATGGTTTAATTTGACTGTATCTCCGACCAAATAAGCAGCAGAAAACTTAGGTTATGTAGGTGGAATAACACTAGGCTGCCATCACACTAACCTTCATGATATATTTTGTCGCCATTCATGTAATTTTCTCACTTTCAGATAAAGAATTTACTAGAGGTCATTAATATCATGAGACTAAAGTGAGTAATGATGAGATGATAAACCTGGGGTCAGTTATTTCAACCTTCATATTAATAAAATTGCCAAATTACAGGGGTAAATTATCCTTGTACATTTAGGAGTCTAACAGAAATTTGATTTGTAAAAGTCTTAGGAACTGTCCGGCAAATGAACTCTCAGACTTTCTGACAAATTTCATTTGGACTTCCTGAGCTCAAAGTCAAAGTGAAGTTTGGTTTAACTAACTTATTAGTTCAAGTCTCACAGACTCAGTTAATATCATTGTCGTCATCATCTCGAGCTCATTACTGGCCAATAATGATTTTGGGTCAATTTTCTGCTTCGGTATTTGTTGACAAAAAGCCACTGCCGGAATATAAAGAAGTCAAGTCCAGAATGCTGAAAGAGAATTAGATGACTTGTTGGATTGCGTCAGAAGCAGGCAAGGTATAGTATTAATCATACTTGTGCTTCTTTCCTGGGTGTCATCATTCCATGAGGATCAACCTGTTATGACAGGCCCAGTTTCTCTTCGCAATTTTTGCACTTTTGTATCTCCACATTTCTTTCCTGGGTGTCACTCCTCCATGGGAGTCATTATGTTGATAACAGGCCCAGTGATTTTCGCAATTTTGCACCTTTTTACTTAGCTGGGTTCACTTATTTTTCTGGTGTCACTCCTCCATGGGAGTCATCCTGTTGATAATGGTATCTGCTATTTGACAATAGCCAGCACAATTATCAACAAGATGACACAAATAGAGGAGTGTGCTGGGATTAAAAAGCCCTCACCTGTTAAATTGTAACATATAATTAGCAAAAAAATATCTAATAGTCAATAATACAGGGCATCTGTGGCGTCTACGTATAGGTAGGAAGGGAAGAACTGCGAAATAAGTGGAAATATAAAAGTGCATGAGTCATGGAGAACTATATGCACCACGAGAATGATGTAGAATTAGATATGAAAGAGATAGCACCAGTGGAATGGAAAGGGCGCAGGGCGCAATGAGTCACCAATTGTATGGGCAGAGGGGAAGTGAGTCATATGTAACCATGAGAATGGTGAAGAGTTAGATATGAAAGAGATAGCACCAGTGGAATGGAAAGGGCGCAGGGCACAATGAGTCATAGATAAGATATGTACAAGGCGTGTTGTATGCACAGTGGATGACTTTAATGTCTCAATATAAAGTCAGTATACACACGATCAATTCATATACATTGAGGAGCAACAGTCCTGCGCGGCTGGACTGGTGTTGGAAGTGTGGAGGAAGAAGAAATTAGGGCAAGTATCAGTTAGAACGTCTGATGGCATCATGACACGAGCTGGTTCACAACAAGCCACTGCTGACCTTACAGCAGAGGATGTATTGCAAGCATTGGATACGAGCGAGGAGGTATTTTTAAGTCATAAACATCTGTTCCTGCCAGTAGTGGATAACTCATGAAGCTTTGCAGGAGTTATACCTTGTGAGGCTCAAGTGCATCGGCTTTGACCATGCATTGGATCAGCGCATTAGAGATGAGGTGTCTCGCATGACACATGACAAAAATAAAGTGGATTGCCCTTCAAGCACCGCTGACTTCAAAAAGAAGACTGGTTCAGTGAAGAAGAAGAATCAAAACTGTGGGGAAAATGGGCAAGAAACCAAGAAATCACAGTAAGTCCTGAATGCGAGCCAAAGTTGACCCAAGGACAGCTACTGAACTCTGACCAAATAAGCAGCAGAAAACTTAGGTTCGAAAATATAAAGTTTACAGGTCAGTACATGAAATAGTGTCCAGAGCTTGCTTCTAACTAGTGATACTGCACTTCAGATGACGACTCAATGCTCGACAATTGTTCCTGACCCAAGGGCAGCTGTCTGTGTTAAGGGAAACCTCTCTTATAAAAAGAGAGACACCAAACTAATACTAGGGTAATAGGACTATAGGATGTGCGAAGCGCGATGTGAGTGGCTACACGTGGAATCTGTGAAATAAAATATTGTGCGCTATTGCGCAAGACGTATCCCTAGGATTAGAGCTGGAATTTGTAAGGAAGATGGGAGAATTCAAGGGAAGTGTCTGTGGAGACGCGAGTCTCTACATTGCTGCTGACATTACAGCAGAGGATATATTGCAAGCATTGGCTAGAGGTGAGGAGATATGTTTGAGTCATAAATTTCTATTCCTGCCAGTAGTGGATGACTCATGAAGCTTTGCAGGAGTTGTACCTTGCAAGGCTCAAGTGGATTGGCTTTGACCATGCATTGGATCAGCGCATTAGAGATGAAGTGTCTCGCATGACACATGACAAAGCTAAAGTGGATTGCCCTTCAAGCACTGCTGACTTCAAAAAGAAGACTGGGTAGAACAAACGAGCTACAAACAAGTTTGGGACGACCATCCTGGCACGGTGTTTACCTTCAAATTTACTTCTTTAGGTGGGTCATTTCTGCTACATGTGTACCCAACTCACGCTACCAGTAGTGGATAACTCATGAAGCTTTGCAGAAGTTGTACCTTGCGAGGCTCAAGTGCATTGGCTTTGACCATGCATTAGGTCAGCGCATTAGAGATGAGGTGTCTCACATGACACATGACAAAGCTCAAGTGGATTGCCCTGCAAGCACTGCTGACTTCAAAATGAAGAAGACTGATGAAGTGAAGAAGAGGAATCGAAACTGTGGGGAAAATGAGCAAGAAACCAAGGAATCACAGTGAGTCCTGAATGCAAGCAAAAATCTACCAAGGACAGTGTTAGTTTGACCTCTACTTCGCTAAAGCACCTGACTGACGTTCATTCCCAACTTCGCACGCTGAAGTATTGCCATTGCATGCAAATTGTAGTAATTGGACCTGCAGGGGCTGCATAGGAGGAATCACAGTAAGTCCTGAATGCAAGCAAAAGTCTACCCAAGGACAGCTACTGAGAAGGAATCCTATTAGGAAGACTCAAGACATGATCTGAATCTAAAGCTTGGTACAAACGCAGTAGATCTATGTGCATTTAGAAGCATCAGACCTCTGATCTGTGGAGTCTGCTGAAAGTGTGCTCAGGTGTCCGCATCTGCTTATGTAAGCAGGGTCGCCCCTGTCTTATTGCCTCACAATGATCGATTTTTTCAGCCTTCGTACGACTTGCCTTGTGTCGAATAGACATCTCAATGGGGGTTATTGAACCATCGGATTCCAATGGTAATGCTACTTTTGTTCAAAAAAATCATGTTCTAAAGTTATGAGTGAAGAGTGAGTGTAAGGTTGCCATGCTGAGGTGCTCAATCAAAGGTCGACTGTCTTAGCCTTTTGATGACTGTAATGTCTCAATCTCAAACTAAATACAACCACAATCGATCTATGTACATTTATGAGCAACAGGTCTCTGATATGTGGTGTCTTGCTTCAAGTGTGCCCACCTATCCGCATTTGCTTATGTAAGCAGGGTCGCCCCTGTCCTGTTGCCTCACTCAAAGGTTGATTTTTTCAGCCTTCATATGACTTGCCTGGCTTCAAATGAAACTTGATTCTAAGGTTATTAACCACCCTGGATGCGATGGCAATGCTTATTTTGTCCGAAAAAATCATGTTTCAGAGTCATGCTACCCCCTCCCCCTACCTACTCCACCATGAAGCATGATTTCATGTATATACTGATGTAAAAAGGATTTGAATAGTGTTTTTGGATCATAAAAATAGATTGAAGATGTGTTCAAAGTGTTTTTGGCCAATATGAAATGTAATGTGTAAGTTGACCTCATACCCCCCCTCAAAGATCGATTTTTCTGGCCTTCCCATGACTTGCCATGACTCCAAATCCATTTTTCCTGGGGGCTCTTGATAGCTGCGAACAAGATGGTCAAGCCCGAATTGTCAGAAAAAATCAGGTGGTCGAGATACAGAAGGTCCTCCTCTCCCCCCCAAACTCACATATCTTCCTATTATGTAAATACCGGTATGTAAAAGGGTGTCCCTACTGTTTTCCAATGATATAAATCGATTTAAAATAATACCAGAGCGATTTGAGACCATACAAAGTGACATGTGCGAATTTGTCACATACCCCCCTCAAAGATCGATTTTTCTAGCCTTCCCATGACTTGCATGCCCTCCAAAAGCATTTTTCCAGGGGGCTCTCAATGTCCCTGAACACGATGGTAAAGCCCAATATGTCAGGAAAAATCAGGTTGTCGAGATATAGAATGTCCTCCTCCCCCCCCCCCTACCCCCTATATCGCACCACACTCAAATCTGACTCAAGACCGATACTGAAAATAGTGTTCCTACTGTTTTTCAGTCGTACAAATCGATTGGAGATGGTCCCAGGGTGTATAGAGGTCGCCAATATTGCGGTTTGGTGGAGAGGAAAAAAAGTCAGTATTTCGACCATATCGCCATATTCCAACCGCCGTTTTTCTTAATTCTTGGTTCATATGATTCCTGGAAGATGCCTCTAAATGATGTACCAGCCCAGGAAAAGATATTTTTTCCAAAGTTTGAAACCTATTTCTGTTTTGACCATATAAGTATGCCGCCTGGAAAGCCATCTGCACAAACGCATCGGGGCTGAAACCATGACTCGTGATAAAATTCTTTCCATAACCCTTGAACTCGAGCGCCTGACAATCATTCTGACATATAAGGTCACTCAGGCGTGTCTCAGCATACCGAATGCCAACTCGAATTGAAGGGGTTAGAGTCCACATAAGTTTAGATGGTGAGGTATCATATGAGAAGATTTGAGAGGATATTGGCAATTTTCCGTTGGCTATTGACTTCGGAGGCCTGTAGGATTCAGCGTGAGGCGAAAGGGATGCGTGGAATAGAGTAGGTGCGGATGGGTTGATTGAACGCGCAAGCAGCATTAGGCCTTCAGTAAAGACATCTGCGGCAAACCTGATGGTAACATGAGCATATAGTAAGAAAACAGTTCGACTGGGAGGTACCTCAAAACTGTGTGGCCGTCAACGCCGGTATGTTCAAAGTTGATGCCGGCGGCACCATCTGCACACACGATGATTTGCAGCTTAAATTGAATAACAAATTAGATCAAATACCGACAAGTATCGTGAACGCTGACTCACTTTGTCATATCATCTGTTAGTACACGTGCCAACCTGCACACCTTCCCGCAAGTCATAAGTTCCGCAGAGGAAATTACTGCATAGAGCAGCGAGGTCTTCTCCCTTTTCGCCATTTTGAACGAGCGTGCTGATGCCATCGCGACCTGGAGCTGCATCATCCAAGCAGACTACGAACAAGGCATCGTTAATCAGGCGCAGGCAAGCTGCATTAGTCTTGTCCTGCGCGAGTTCGCGTCGAAGGGAAGACCAAGTCTTCCGATTCTCAGTAGTGAGAACACCAATAGCCGTACGAGCAACCTTTATAAGCCACAGTTAGAGGAAGTAGATAAATGTTGTTCGGTAAGTCCTTACCTCAGTTATTGGAGTCTTGTCAGCATCCTTGCAGATGGCTTGGAGGTTGCGAAGAACCTCACGCTCGGTTAACAGTGGTCGGTTACCCTCATCAAGGGTATCAAATCAATCTAGTGAGATATTAGCGGCTGAATGCATGGGCATGTGTGTCCGACTAACAGAACTGTCCCCTGCGCAAAACTACTATATGACGAGCCGCATCATTCACGAGCATCTTGCAGCCACACTAACCAAACGAATAGATTTAATTTGAGTTCAAATATAATTCTGCGAGACATACCTCTGTTGGTATACGAGCATTCCCGAACAATCTACTGTATTGATCCATATCTAGTGCATGACCACGTACGGCATCGGGTTCAAGTAGACCTTGGCGGAGATCATGAACAAAGCCTAATGAAGATATGATAAGAGCCGTAGCGCGGGGTAGCTGAGAGCCTCGATCCGGGCTAGGATCATTCCTGCCGGTAGTGAGTTAAAGGGTGTTAAAGGCAAATGAAAATCACATGAACGTACTCGAGGACGAAAAAAGGGTTGAGAGCAAGTACTACAGGATCGCTGTGCGAGAGGTAGCTTTCATACCTACCCACAAGGATGAGAAACCCATGATTAGAAGAAGTACCTCGAGGCAAAATAAGAGAAGCTCACCAGAAGTCCTCGATATAGCTGCGAACAACAAAAGGGTGGGAGGTAAGATCCGGAAGCCGTGGTGAAGAGGCAGTTTGATTAGCGATGCACGAAACTCACCTTGCTTTCTCTTGAGCCCACTCATTCAATCTCCTCTGTAGAGCGGGACCTTCGCTATCTAAGAAAGTTCGAACAGCATGCTGAGTGGCAGCATGTTCCTTGTCATCCTGGAGACCTCGAAGAGCAGTCAAGTAGCGTTTGCAAGTGTCATCGAGAGATGGAACTGGGAGCTTCGGCAAGGTATGCTGGTTCGCAAAGGTGCGTCCAGGAGGCGGAGTGGTTAGGCGGAAGGTTGGAGTTGGAGTTGCCATACGCGCAGAGAGAGGGAGAGTAGTAGACACGACGCGCACTAATTAGTCATTTGACGAATGGCTCCCTTTGTAGTTTCTTGAGTGACAGATTA